TTCCTGCCCGGGAATCGCTGAAACTTTCCAGAGCTCCGTGTGTCAGGCAGGGGAGAGCGGAGCAGGGAAAGAGGAGACCACCTGTTTATCCTTTCCTTTCCAGGTAGAGGACTTTTAAAAAGGTAATCTCGAGCAAGAGTCTGGCTAAGAACATTGTTCTCTGGTGGGGATGTCAGGCGACTTTCTACCCCCTTCAAGCCGTCAAGGAATGTTTTCAGGCAATTCAGGAGGCAGGAATATCCCCCGTGCCCACTTTATAGGCGGGCTGTAAACGCCTCGCGGAGGTTTGCTCACACTCAAATGGTTAATTAAGAAAACATTAAGGGTCCAGCTTAAACCAACAAAATCCAGACAGCTCCGAGCCGAGTTCCCACTTGCCACAAGAGCTGCGAACCCCCTCCTCGCCCGGAGCCGCCGTCCCTCCACCCCTCACGAGGCTGTCCGACCTCCGCATCCTTCTGCTATGGGGCCGATGCTTCTCCTCTCATCCCCTTCCAGGGGGAATCGCCACCCACAGCCTTTCCCGTTCCTTCTCTCAACCCCGTTCTGGACCGAATGCCGCAGGGACTCGTTTCTTTTTGGAAGCCGCTCCCCATAATGTGAAAGAACCCAGACCCCGGCGGGAGGGTGTCATGGGATCTGCGCGAGAGCAACGAGGGGGGGGATGTCGTTGCTGCCCGGCCGGTCCTCGCCACCCCGAGCGGAGGACCAGGGCTTTTCTACCTGTCCGGGATAACGGGATGGGTTTCTCCCTGTTTCCCAGGGATGGAGCAACCGTGACCGAGAGGACTGTGTGCCTGAGAGCTCCTTTGCTGTCCCCAGCTCCTGCCTGTGCCTTCTCTCTTATTTAACTGTCCTAGGGAAAAAATCGGCCAGTTTTCCTGTCTGTCCAGCCTTGTGGAAAGAAGCAGGATTAACACGGGGTAGGCGACGTGCCGAGCATTGTCAGGAAAGCGTGGAGTTTGTTTTAAGACATCAAAAAGGAAGACAGAAAAGGATGGACACTACCTTCCAATACACTTTAGTTGGCTGGTGACAAAAACTCCGGGCATGCTCTGAATGTGTAATTGGTACCCCCAACTGAAAATTCCCTATCTAATTTGATATTTGGTGCTCAGCAGAAGCTAGCCTTCGTAAATAATATACAAAGTAAGAAACCTAATCCAGCAGGCTAGAATGTTTAATTCATCATTATGCGAGCTAATTGGAAGGTGATTATATGGTAATTGCTCATTAGTGGTGTATATTTATCGCTGTACCTTATGTCAAGGCCATGGGAATTGTGTAGAGTCTGTTCTCTCATTTCAAGGATCAGTTTCAGAAGCAGGAGCAAAGCGGACGAGATCAAGTTCTTCCTGACGTCAGGTCCAGCCGTGGGCGACGGAGAGCGGGACTATAAATGCTCTCCCGGAGCCCCCGCAGCAGCCGGGGCTCCAGCCAGGGCGTGCGGGGGACACTGGGCTCCCGAGGCAGCCGGGCCGAGCGGCCTCACGGCGGGGAGAAGGAGGAGAAGGATGAGAAGGAGGCAGATCCCGCCTTCCCCGTTCCGGCCAGGGGAGTCACCTGCCAGGCGCACTGACCCCGCCGCGGGAGAGCGATGCCCGCAGCAGCTCCCGCCCCGCACCTTGCGGGACACCCAGGGAACTGGGGCGGCCACGGCCCCCCCATCCCGGCAAGAGGGGTCCGAGGGGACACCGGGAGGGTTCGCTCACAGCCGGTGGGTCGCCTTCCCTGCAACAGGCGCTAATCGCAAAAGGTCAATTAAAAGAGAGCCAGGGAAGGTGATTAATGGCCCTTTCCGTTTCAAGAGTGGGCAACGGGCTGGGATTCCCCGGCTGCGAGTGTCCCACCAGGAGAGAGGCTGGCGAGGAGAGAGGTTACGGCTCGGGGTCAGGAGGTTCTCTAAACTCCCGCTTCCCCCTCGCAGCGGGACCCTTTGGAGAAATAAATCAATGGCCGTATTAGCTCCGAACAGTTATGAACCGCTGATGTAGACGGGAGCAGGGGCTGGGAGAATCCTGTTCATCAGGGAATCCGGCTAGAGTTGCTCTCTCTGCTTCCTACCGCCTATGAGGAGCCTGGGTGCTAATTAGGGGGGACCGCTAATTTCCGCCGAGCCCTCACAGGTAACAGTGCGATCTATCAGAGGAGGAAGGTAAATAAACACCGTTTAAACACAACAAAGCGAGGGCCCCGAAAGGCCTCTGGCCTCATCACCCCACTCCATTTACAAAGAGAGGGGTGCGTGGGTGCGGGGTCGCGCCCGCGTGGGGGGTGCAAATCCCAGCGGTGGGAAGTGACCCCGGCTGGGAGCCGCTGGCTTTGTCCGAAGGGAAAGGGTTAAAAGTCCAAGGCCGGCGGGGTCAGCTCCTGGACACGGAGCCAGCAGAGCTGCCGAGGGTGGGGATCCGGCCCTCGGCGGGGGGGGGCATTGGCGGGAGCCGCCGGTGCTCGGGGCCGCTGCTGGGCGGCGACACGTCCGAGAAGGGCCGGGGCAGGCGAGGGGCGGGGAGCGGGCTGCGCCGACCTTGGCCGGCAGACAGAGCCCAGCGATGGACGAGGCAAACCACGCGAAACCGGCGGGGCCGATTTGCCCGCGGAGGTGCGCGGGACAGCGCGCTCCGCCCCGCACCGCCCCGCACCGCCCCGCACCCGCGGAGCGCTCCGCGCAGCGCTGCAGGGGGGGCCCTGCTCGGCCTCCAGCCCCCTGCGCAGCCCCGGGGTGCAGCGGCCCAAATCCCGGCCTCCCGAGGGACAGCCGGCCTCCGGCAGCCGTGCCCCGGCTTTCCTTCGAAAGAGCAGTAAAAATCCGCCCGGGTCTGCAATTCGCCACCCGAATTGCGCTTCCCCCTCCCCCACTCCTCTCAGTTATTTAATATAAAATGTATTTTTAAACAACCGCTCGGATAGCATCTCGCCAATATTTATATTTCCACGTTGCCTGGCATCCACTGTCCCACATTAGACTCTGCCTCTCTCTCCCTCTCTCTAATCCTGCCACTTTAAATAGATGAATTAATAAAGCAAATGAGGGTCTAATAAGCTGACTGTCCTGCCTATTGAGGCAGGGGGAGAGAGACTAGAAAGTGCGCCAAATTTGTTTGCAGTGGATCAAGGCTAGCCGCCTTTGCTTCACTTTCTTTATCTTAATTCCGACTTGAAAAGATATAATTATCTAGTTTGAACAGAGCTGCTATCAAATCCTTCTCTAGGCAAGGCAGGGGAGAGCTGGAGTGGATTGCAGTGTTCTGAGCCGCTTGGTGCAGCCGGAGATAGGGAGTAATGAAGTTGTGGAGTCCTGAGATACAAAGGGCATTAACCTCATTAGCATGAAACCTTTTCTTCTAACCATTGTGGGACCCTTTCAGACTCCTAATCCCCCCTATTTTCAAAGCTGGGTTTGTAATAAAGCTTTTAGGGTTTTTTTTCAAAGCTAATGGCATTCTCTGAAGATTTTATTGCTGTTACGCTACATAGGACGCTTAATTTTTTTTCCCTCTCTCCCTCTCTTCGCTCACGGTTAAAAAAAGAAAAAAAGAAAAAGGGTGGAGGGAGAAGTATATGGTTCCTGCAGAAATAAGGCTTTTATCAAGATGGGAAACAATTTCTAGAAAGGCCCAAGTCTGCTGTTCGGCCGCAATCCATTTGCTGTTTGCCCATTTGCCCGGGTTTGGAGTGGGGCGCAAGCCAGCTTGGGTGAGTTCAGGGGAAATGTGCGTCCTGTTGGTTTCCAGATCTGCATCATCAGCTGTTCGAGGAGGGGAGAGATGCAACGAGAAGTTTACCTTGGGAATAGCTCTACTAAATAATTAGCCTAGGTTTAAATGGAAGGGACTGCATTGCGACATGCGTCCTAACCCCGACTGGGCCTCTCTCATATTTGTAGCACTAGTGAATGGAAAGTCACCGGGATTGTATAAGAACCGATGCTAAAAAAAAATAAGATCGGATTTAAAAAAAAAAAATTAAATTTACATAGTACCCGATAGAGCCAACACGTGCACAGAATGTCTAATCTTAACTTTCCAAGGCAGTATGTTTAACAAAGCTCGTATTTTTGCGATGCATTGTAACTTCGCCTTATCACAGTGTAAAGGGTAGTCAGATTGTCCTAAATTATGTCCAACTAGCCCCCCTGGATCCACGGATTAAGAGATTAAAGGAGACCACTGGGCAATGCCTCCTCTTTCCCCTTCATATTCCTGGTATGATAATTGCCTAAACTGATTTGCACTTTCACAAAAGCTTGCAGGATTCTTTGTAGCTCGAACAGAGCAGACGAGGTTTCTCTATCAATGGAAATAAAACTGATTAATGCAGTCTATCAGGCTAAAGAGCAAATGAAGCATGAAAAAACAACGGTGTACCCCCAGAAAACCAGCTAGTTTCCTCAAGGACCCAGAGCAACTTTTTTTTTTTTTTCTTTCCCCCACGTCTTTAATGTCAGAGTTTTACTCTGTGCCCGGGATCGCTCCCTGAGAGCGGCGGGGAGAACAGCAGCTGGGGCACAGCCCCTGCTCACAGGACCTGTTCCTCACCGCAGCGACCTGGCCAGGGGATGTTAAACACGGGGGGGGGGGGGGGAGAAAAAAAAAACACCCTGTCGCTATTAAAACACCTATTTTTGCAAAGGAAAGCCCCTCTCAGCGGAGCGCGGCTGCTGCGGACCGGTTTCACCATTACGAGCCGGTTCACCCTTCAGATTCTAAGCGGGGAAGGGTTTTCCGTTGGGGGTGTTCTTTTTGTTTGTTTTTGCTGGGGGTTTCTTTCAGGTATTTATTTACATCAACCGGGTCTCCGCGGCGTATTTTTAGAGGTCTATTTACCAGCCGGAGAATACATTAAGAAAATGCGCCTGTGGCCGCGGGAACGCGCGGCGCGGCCGCGGGAGCGCAGGCTCCGGCAGCAGGGGTTCAGCAGCGAAAAACAAGGCGGTGCGGGGGGAAAATACTGGTTCCTGAGAAATCTGGGGGTGAAGCGGAAAAGATATTGCTTAAAAATTTAGGGCATATTGATAAATCTTTATTGACAAAATATTGACAATGACATACTTCTTGGAAGTATATAGTGTGTTAGAATTCTAACAAATTAAACACAAAACACAAAAATATTTACATTCTGGTATAGGAGACATGAAGGAAACATTTGTAACTTTTTCTTAGTAGCTCTATGATCTCGGAATATTATAAGGTCAGTGCTTGAAAATTGCCCCAATGAAAATGGTCATTAGGAAAAAAAAATCAATCTGCGATTTTAAGTCCCTTTTCTCTGGATCCTCCCAGCCTAGAAAGTGTCCTCACCGCCAAAACTGGTCGCTGGGTTGGCGCTTTATTAATCTTAAAAAATAATCATCATCCGGTTTTGCAATGGGGATACGATGGGGGGTGGAGGGGGGCTAATTTAATTTTAATTTTTTTTTTTTTTTCAGTAAAAGTTATGACCAACCCCAACCTCCCCCCCCTCCCCGCCTTTCCCTCCCGTCCCTCCCCTCCCCACCGTGTTTGTCCATCCGGAAGGAACACTATGCTTTGTTACTGCTACTTCATTTAGCTTTCACAAACACTTTGACGCCAGAAGTTATCATAAAATGTTTACAGACTGCACATTTCTCGTAAAATAAAATTAAAAAGCACACGGAACCTGTCTTAAAGGGAAAAAAAATTACAATTAATTTCTGTCTTTAGGAACTGGAGTAATTTTTTCGCTTTTTTTCCTTTTTTTTTTTTTTTCTTTTTTTGCCCAGACGGCTTTACACATGCAATTCAAGTTTCTGAAACAGGTGTGGGTTTTGGCTGCTTATGGAAATTTCTCTTTCAAAGACGGAAAAAACTGTGAAGTGCAAAATGTCCAGTAAGGTGGTAATTTTTCTGATTTGGAGGGGGGGGGGGGGGGGGGGCTGGCTTGTCTTTTTTTTTTTTTTAACATTTTTTCTATATATTTTTAAATTTTTTTGACGTTATGCTTTTAAAAGTGGACTGCGATAAACGGAATACCTGTCAATCACCTCGTCCCGCTGTTTTGGCTCTGATTGACAGATCCCCCTTGCCAGAGCGGTGCCGGCAGTGTCACAGTTCGGACCCCTCGCTGTCTGGCCCTCGCTCGCTCCCAGCTCCCTCCCAGACGGGAATCGTGTTTTGATGAAGATCTCCGTGTCCTTCCCCGCACCGCCACGCCGGGGGGTGTGAGCCTTTAACACTTTCGGTTAGTGGGGTGTTCGGCTTTGAAAAGTCCCAAAGAGCCAGTTCTTAATCGTCCGACGTGACGTCGATTTCCTCTGGACTGGCTTGTTTGGTGGCGATTCTCCACCGGTTGATGTGATGAGTCCCTTTTTTCTTCTGTTGTGAGTCTGAACCTTCCTCTTCCAACTTTTGCCGCTTGAACTTTGTCCGTCTGTTCTGAAACCATACTTTTACCTGCGGGAGGAAAGGCACCGGGCGTTAGTCCGATGCCTGCTGCGCTGGCCCTGGCGCGGGGCTCCGGGTGCCCCCGGGCCGTGCCCTGCCCACACCGCGTCCTCCCCGCTCCGTGCCCTGCTCTCACCGCTGCCCGGCCTGGAGCGGGCCGAGCAGAGACGAGGCCCGCCTGCCTCCTGAACCCCTCGGGAAAGGCCCGGACAGGCTGTCCCACGCCCGCCGGCCGCTCCAGAGCACCCCCGCGTGCAGGACCGGGCAGCACGGCCGGGGGGATGCACCGGGCTCGGGGGCGCGGAGCTCCCGCCTACGAGCGGCCCCGAGCAGTGCCCCGGTGCCCCACGCGTGGCCGCGTGGCCGTGGGCTGTCACGGCCACGGGCCCGCTCCTGTTCCCCGCGGGTGGCGAGCTGTGCCGCGGCCCAGGGGCTGCGGGGCGGGAGGCAGGGCCGGCTGCGGGGCGCTCACCTGCCCGGCCCGGCCCGGCGGGTCAGAGCAGACCCAGGGCCTCATCCGTTCCAGGATGGGGCTGAGGGCAGGCGGTACGAGATCTTTTCCTCTTGGAAAAGCGCATAAAATGTAAGAAAATAGCCCCGAGTAGAAAAACGTCCGTCGCTCTCCGCAACATCTCCCCGGGACACGCCGCCCAGGAGCGATCGTAGCGCCGCGAAACCTGTAAGTGCCATCGTAAATATCCCTCTCATTTTGTTCAGCGAGAGTACAGCTGACTGAACCATCCGGCAGCTGACTTCAGTGCTTTAATTACAGATAGTATTGATCTCTGAGCTATCTCCAGAGCTGGCCACACTCCTTGTAGCGTCCAAAGGTAAACACTTTTTTTTTTTAAAGCAGTTTAAACTCTGGTTCTGTCTGAAAGTGCCTGATAAAGGCCTCAGCAAGGGGGGGGAGGGAAGAGAACTGGAGCATTTTAATAAGCTGGTTTAACCCGCTTCGCTGCCTCTTCAGAACAGAGACCTGACTGGCCGGACACACATCTCTGCTGCATTTTCATATTCTCCAAAAGTCCCCCATTAAAAAGCTGAGCGGGGAACAAGGGGTGAGTTTAATTTGCTTTTAGTTTGCTAATTGAAGGGGAGGACGGTTCATTTCTGCACGCTGATCTCCCAAAAGGGAGCTCATTTGTAGGGGACTGGGGGTTTGACATCCGGACAAAAGACCCCAACCAGCTTCGGAATCAAGCAGCACAAAGACCACCTTAAATACAGCTTTCCAGTAGAAATAAGCCTGTGACCGGTCCCTTGTTCGGGGAACCTCATAAAAGTGGCGATCCCTTTTTATTGTTTTGTTAGGGAGACATTTTAAAACAAAAGCTCCAACCTCTTTATTGCTTCCCGCACGAAAAGGAGTTAAGAAAAAAAAAAAGTGTTACAACTTAATCCGCCCAGAGAACGCTGTGTTTACTGGGAACTTTGAACTAGGCTGCGGCTGGGTATTTTGGCTTTTTTTTTTTTTTTTTTTTTTTTTTTTTAGTACAGTGCCATGTACTGTAGCAGAGACAATCCCCATCTGGAATCCTGTCTCCGCGAGTCTCCTGGAAGGGCACAAAACAAAAGCCCGACACAACAACAACAACAACCACCACCAACAACCCTCCGAACTCCAGCTTTTCTTCCGGCGGGGAGAAAACCGCGTGAAAAACGCCCTCCCAGCGGACCCGCCGTCCGTGGGTCCCCCGCCGTCGGGGGGAGCCTGTGCCCGCCCCGCCGCAGCCCTTGGCCGGTTCGGCGCTGCCCCGGAGCGCCCGGCCTCGGTACCTGCGAGACCCTCGCCCCGGCACGACCGGAGCGGGAACCTCGCTGATCGTCCCGCCACATACACGACACAAACAGGCTCCGGTGCGGCTCTGGCCGGCAGCCAGTCGGCGGGAGGGGGAAAGGAGGGCGGGGGAGGGGGGGATTCCTCGTTTATAATTTCTCTACTTTTATTTTTCATCTTTCTGTCCTCCTGAACCGGCTCCTCACATCCCCTCTGCCTGACGCGGGGCTAGAAACGAGTGGAAAATCATCCAAGAAACTGTGTTTCTGCCGTAGGGTCCAAAGAGGGGGGTTCTTCCTTTCTCCCCCCGCATTTGTTTTGGTGGCTTTTTCCCCCAGCATCAAACTACTTCTTGAGGGTCGGAGGAGCCCCGCAGCAAAGCGGTCGGACCCACAGACCGCGGATCTCACCGCTCCCTCCCCGCTCGGGCCCGGGCTCCCGCCGGGGCTGCCCGAGGGACCCCAAATCCTGCTCCGAGCCCTGCGGCTTCCCACGGCCGGCCGAGTACTGCGACCCCCGGCACAAGCGGTGGAATGACGAACGGGAAAGGATTTTACAACACCCAGGCGAGGGGGGACCCCTCTCTCCACTCCACCGGCTCGGGACCGAAGGCCTAAACACCCCTAGAATTTGCCCGTATTTTTTGCTCGAATCTCGGCCCGGCCTGGTGGGTTTTCCAAAGGAGATGCCGATACTTTCACTTTCCCGACTGTCCGTTCCATGTTTCCCCCTTACCTGAGTTTCTGTGAGGCTGAGGCTGTGTGCCAGCTGTTTTCTCTCCGCTCCTACTACATAATGGTTCTTCTCAAAGGCATGTTCCAGTCTCAGTAATTGGGATGGGGAGAAAGCTGTACGGATCCGTTTGGGTTTCCTGGCCAGTGCATTGTGCAATAGGAAGCTCTCCGGGCTGGTTTCATTCCCTGGGCAACAGGGTAAAACAGAGATTAGCAAAACACCTTTCCCAAATGCACTCGACAGGACTTTCTAGCACAAGAAATTTTTTTCTCCCACCATTATCCGCAGGAGAAATCCGACTATGGTTTCTTTTTTATTTTTCAGCGCTTTTTTGGTATTGAATTTTCCTTTGATAAATAGGTGGAGGGGAATGATAAACTAGCAGGGGAAGGAGAGGACTGGGAGAACTTAAAATGCTAAAACCCAACCTGGGGAGGACTACAGGAAAAAAAAAAAAAAAAGAATTGGCCAGAGCCTGGCTGCGGTGTCTGCGGCTTCATCCCGCGGCTGCCCCCCTTCCACTCGACCACCGGCAGCCTCACATCTTTCCGTATTTGTTTGTTGTTCTCATCTTCCCGTCGCTGCCAGCTGGGGAGCGGCGCTCGGGGCGCCCTGGCCGAGCCCCCCGAGACGCCTTGGCCGCCCACCGGCCTCCGGGAGCCGCCCGCCCGCTGCCCCGGCCTGTCTCCGCTTCCCTCGCCCAGAACTTCGGCCGGGGCCTTTCTCCCTCTGCTTCCCCCCGTCCTGCCGGTGTGTTGCCCGGAGCGGAGCTCCCACCGCCGCCTTTCCCGGCCCCCTGCCCACTCCACGCTGCCTCGGCGGGGACGGGAATCGGTGTGGAAATAAAGAGCCAAACTTCGGAGAGGCCACAGAGCGGCCATCCCATCTCATTTTATCCCATCCCATCCCATCCCATGCCGGCCGGCATCGGAGCGGGGGCGGGAGCGGGGGGTGGGTTAGCTGGGGCTTTTCGGTGGGCATCTCCCTCCAGGGTGTCCCTGTGCCGCTCCTCCGGGTCGGCCCTTCCAAGGTGGGAAAGGCACCGAGGGGGTCTCGCTGTAAGTGCATTAAAAATCGTTGGAGAGGGAGGGTGTGTTTGAAATCAGGCTGTGGCTCAACACCAGGACATTTCCGCCTTTCATCTACCCCTCGTTACCAATCGCCTGGTGGCTGCGACAAATAATTTGGTGAGCGAAACCTGTAATTTTATTCTCAGAGGGTAATAATCCATTTTGTCTCAGACCGCCTGGCTTCAGAGAGAGTCGCTCCTTTTCCAACCCTGCTGCAGCGGCCCGGCTGCAGAAGGCCGGGGAAAATGAAACATGCAGGTGGTTTGTTTTCGTTCCGAAATAATAAATAAAAATACAAGGAAAAAAAAAAAAGGCAGATGGATCCCTCCGAGTGGAGGTTTATTTTTTTGTTTGTTTGTTGTTTGGTTTGTCTATAACGAAAGAGGCAGGAGCTGGACCCATTACGGGAGAAATCAGCTCACCCTTCGGGGAAGACGCCGCTGGTTATAAGGGGTTAAACAAGGGGGATTTTATTGATTGTCCGCCATTGGATTCGGTTATTTCCCTTCAGCCGGGTATTAATCGCTGTGCATTTAGGGCCACTCGCTGCCCACACGGTCGGGATCGCCCTCCCTGTGCCTTCCCCGGCTATCCTCCGCAGCCTCATCTCCCCGTGCTGCTCCGGCGCTGGGATTATTTCCCCCCTCACATTCCCCTCCTCCTTTCTCTGGGGTTCGTTTCATTTCTCCCCCTCCAGCAAGGGCAGCGGTCGGACTTGGGGCGGTGGCGGGGGCTTCCTGCGGCCCCGCAGCTCGGCCCCGCAGCCCGGCGGGCACCGCCGCCTTCCCGGGGGAACCTCAGCCTCAGCACCTCTCCATTCCCCGCTCTGCGGGGCCGCTTCCTTCTGTAGCTTTTAACACACCGGAACAAAAAATATCCGCCTTTTCCCCTGCTTTTAATGGGGGCAGAAAGCTGACGGAGTCCCAGCCGGCCTTGCCTTCCCGCTTGCCCCCCTCTTCGCGAGAAACCAAAACAAACCGGGAAAAAGCAGCAAAACAAAACGAAGCCCGAGCCCCTCGCCTCTGACAGCTCATCAAGTTTGGCGGAGGGGAAGACAGGGACAAAAGACCCCGGGCCCGGTCGAGCCGAGCCCGCGGCTCCGGGCAAGGGCCGCCCGCCCACCGCAGTCCCCCAAAACCCGCACGGCGGGGCCGGCCGGGAGCTCCGGGAGGGTGGATCGGAGGGAGAGCGGATCGGAGGGAGAAGAAAAGTTGCACGTACCTTGAAACCTGTGGCCCAGATACCGGTAGCGGTGTATTAGCCACGGGTAGAAGGTGGAGGGGTCCCTTTGCTGCGAGGCGAAGAGCGGGTGCGTGGAGTGCGAAGCAGGCAGCGGGTGGGCGGCCAGGGCGTGAGGAGGGGGCACGGGATGGACCGGCACTGCCGGGTTAGGCGGGTGGGAGACGGCCTCTGCAAAGACCAAGTCCGGGTTGGAGTAGACCCCCCTGCCAGTGGAGTGGAAGCCGTTGAGAAAAGGGTTCATCGGGCTGGAATTGGCATAGCTGAGCGCCGCCGGCCGGATAGGATCCTCGGAGCGAGACGCGGGCAAGGGGCTGTCTTTGGCCACCAGCGACTCGATGGTGAAACACCGCTTGGGTGTGGGCTGAAACATGCTGCCGCGACGAGAATCCCCGACCCAATCTCTGCCCGTCTCTCTCTGGTGCGCGGGAGACGATCCGGGGAAGTTTGCAGCAGGGAGTGACTTGAGGAGGGATAGATACACACATAAATAGACAGGGGCTGGAGGAAAAGGAGGCAGCGGCAGCCAGCGGTACCCAAAAGGGAGACACACACGCACCACGCACACACACACAAAAAAAGTTGCTGGGAGAAGTTTCCCTCCTGCAAGGAAAAGGCGGTCGTCCCCCCCTCCCCCCCTAAGTCCAAAGACAATCCATGGATGTGATCGGCCCCTTCACAAGTTGTGCAAACGATTTGTTAGTTCATGAGCCTAATTAGTGCTGGGATCACATAAACAGCTTCCTCTGAAGCCTGGTAAATGGCTTGATGATTGGTCGCTATTACTCGCCTTGAGGTTGAAGGGGGAGACTCTTTAAAGTGCGTCAGAGGGGAGGCGAGTGCCGGGCAGCGCCATCGGGAGGGATGGAGCCGCGGATCGGAGTGCGGCGGGAGCGCGCCCGCCACGCGGGGGGAGCGCGGCGCCCCGCGCAGCCGCCCCCGCCCCGCCGCCATCCCCGCCCCGCGCCGCTCCGCGCCCCTCCGCCGCCGCGCTGCCCTCCCTCCCTCCCCTGCCGCCGCTCCGAGACCAAGGTAGGCGGACGGGGGTCGGGGGGGGCTCAGCGGGGCAGGGGGTGAAGGGCGCCGCATCTCCTGGAGGGGGCTCGGGGGGGGGTTTGGGCTCCTCCGCCAGCGTGACACCCCTCTCCCTGCCGCCTCTCGGGGGCTCTCAGCCCGGCGAGGTTACCTTGGTCCGCCCCGGGGCGTCAGGGAGAGATGCCCCGCTTGGGAAAGATTTCGTCCCTGTGAGAGAACGGGTCGTCCTCCTCCTCCTCCGAACTTATTCCCTGCCCCTGGGCTGCCCCGCGCTGCCCGCCCCGCGCGGCGCGCAGCACAAAGCGCAGGGCGGCTGCATGGTGCGGGGCTGGGACACGCCGGGCGCTCGCAGACGGGACAGGGGATCACGTCTCCGGTTCCAGCCTTGTCCGTATTTTCGCGTTTACCTTTGGGTCCGGAGATGATTTTAGGGCTGAGTTCTCCTCCTCTCATTGGCTGGGGCCGCAGAATAATTATGATCACATCCTAATACTCTTGGCTGGTGCTTACTGTTTATTGGTAGTTAAGGATCTATTATCTATTCATCAGCCTCCCATTTTTGCCAATTACATTCTTCTAAAGTGAAGTACCAGCAGGTATTTTGCACATTTACAATTAATGATAAAAAAAATCTGGCGTACTTTAAATCTATTACGCCGCTGTGTAATTTATCTTAAAGATGCGGAATTGCTAATGTAAATTAATGTTTCTGTTGAACCAAGGGATGGGGGGAGTCTTAAAACCAGTCTAGCGTTTCTTTCCTTCGTTTCCGGACTTTGTTTTCTATTTTCTTTCCACTTTATACACAAAGAATCCGTTACTTCGCCGCATTAAAATATGCTAAAAAATAAATCGCTGCCTGAACGGTCCTCGCTTGTTTCCACTAAAGGGCGAGATGAATTCTATTCGCGTTCCCCGCTTTCTACTAAAAGCATCTGTTCGCAGCTTGCCGGTATTTTTAACAAAATACCAAATCGACGGGCTAAATATAAGTGACAAAACAGCGTTGGGCACGCAAGGATGCGGCCGTTCTTGCGCCTTTGTTCGGGGCCGTGTTTCCCTTTGTGTACCCCGCGCTATGCGCACTTTGTGGGGGGAGAAGTTCACTTCATGTAGGAAATGTAAATCTGATCTCCAGGCGTGGGGCGGCTGTACGTATAGACATCCGTACCCACACGTGCATACGAGAGCAGAGCAGAGTGAGAGAGAGCTTTATACGGCGTAGCTCAAGTCTTTGGACAGATTTTGCAGCGAGGTGCCATTCTCCCAGGTCTCACACGTTTGGAAAAACATCTGCAGCCCGAAGACACCCGGGGCGCAGAGCTCCGACCCCACTGAGCTGAGAGTGTCGAGCAAGGGAGAGAAGGATTTGTCTGTAGCCCCACTCGTATCCCTCGTGAATTGCTAATATCTTAACTTTTTAAGTCCCCTCACCCTTTCTCCGTGAAACTTTTTTCCCCTCGACCGGCAGTAACTACGGTTCTTCTCGCAAAGCTCGGGGGTTATGGGCACGAGCAAGGCTGAGAAAGTGCCCTAAATACGACGGGTGTTTGAAGTGCTGATTTCGACTGGGTTCCTGGTTCCAGAACACCGAACGTGAAAAAAGACAGGAGAAACTTATTCTTCTCCTAGGAAGAGCCGTGTTCTGCATCTGCGTATTTACACTTCTCCGGGACTGAAGAATGAATCTGAACTGGAAAAACTTCAACTCCTTTTTTTTTACTTCTTTTTTTTTTTTTTCCAGACATCCTGACATAATCACGGGGCTCCTTTGAAAACTGCATCAAGCAATTTAGCAGTTAGAGAGGGAGGAATTATATCCGTTTGAAAAGAAACCTCACACACGTAGGGAGGGAATAACCCTCCAAAACACTCGGTAAATTTCCCTCGACCGTCTTTACCGCCGAGGAAATATCCTCCAGCCTAAAATCCCTTTCCGAAGGGGCGTCCCGTTGCTCTGGAGCCGAGCGGAGGAGGCTACAGCTGCAGCGAGGAGCTCTCCACGGCCAAGTCCCATTTCGTTCGGGAACGCGGGGACCCTGGAGGTCCCCCCATGCCGCCCCAAATCCTGCACGCTCTCTGTGCTCTGCACACACATACACATATCTGCGTGTGTGTGTGTGCGCGGGGATACAGACAGGCAGAAAAACCCCACGCAGAGCTTGGAGAGAGCACAAGCTGTCTCTGGATTTTGTCAGAGATAAAACAGGCCGGGGACAGTCAGAACAAAAACCAAGGGGACTCGGGATGGGATTGCCCAGAATTTTCCTCTTCTCCCTAATTTTCGCATCATTCTCCCACCCGTCGCCGTGGCCGTTTCTCTGGGATGTCTCCCGCACAACCCCCGGCCTCTCCTAGCCCGGCCGCGGCCGCTGAGCTCCAACCCGGCCTGCCCCGGGAACACCTCCCGAAGCCCCTCTCTTGAACTTTTCCTGCCCAAGGTCTTCACAGGCTGCTCTCGCTGTCCTCTTGGCGTCTACATGGAGAAAATCTGGCAGGGGCTTCCTTCCCAGAAATCCCCGATCTGCTCCAAGCGCACTGAGAGGCAGCCTCTCTCGGAGGGAGGGGTGCGCTACGCTCGCAGTCAGATTACACGGCTGGCCTCATAGGCACTAGCTCCGGATTTCCAAACTAATATTCATCCCTTAAAAGACGAAGAAAATGAGAGGAAGGTCTCAGACGCGGGAGACCTCGGGGTAAGACGGTTGTTCAGGGGTTGAACCAGGCTGAACTTTCTCGGGTATGAGGGTGGAGGTGAGACAAGTTTCAGACTCCCCTTAAGTTTCTTTTCGAGGCTGAACCCGTCTCCCTCTTCTCTCTCCCATCGCAGGGATTCGTGACCACAGCGGGGAGGAGATGTGACCCATGCAGGTCGTGTCTGGAGGGGGGCTGACTGACTTAAAGGAGAGGGCGAAGTGCCTAATTTAATTCTTTCCCGGACGCCCTAAACCCCAGTCAGTATGTGTGAGCGTGCTGCGAGCCCTTCATAGGAGCGCAGTCCTCGGCGGGAGGGGCGGGATCCCGGGCCGCCAAGCGCCGAGACGAGCGGGGCTCCCAGGAGCTGGGCCGGGATGGGGGGCTCCGGGAGAGCCCGGGCTCGGTCACCCCGGCCTCTGCCGAGCAGGTGGATCCCCTCCGAGGAGGTGTCGCAGGCAGCCCTGGCTCCCCCGAGCACCCAGAGCCTCGCGTGGACGGGGCCTCTCTCCCCACTCAGCCGGGGATCCAGAGCTGGGCAAATACACGGGGGGCTTCCCACGGGCCTCTCCAAAGAGAAGACGGGCTCTGAAACCCTCACCCCTCTATTTCGGCCCTGGACAGCCGGGCCAGCGGTGGTGCCGCCGGGGGCCCGTCTCAGAGGCGGGGGGCAGGGACCAGGACCGGGAAAAGGCCTTGCTACCCGGGTTCCTCTCTCCGGCCCCGGAACAACGAACATGGACCGCCACTTGGGGTTTTTTTTCTTTTTGACTCTAATTGAGAGTCCCTTCCTCCCTCTCTCCGAACCACCCCGCCTTGGGCTCTGCACAGCGCGGCCGTGGTTCCGCGCAGCTGTTTTCATCTCGGAGGTGTCGGACTCGCGGTTCCAAAATGTCGTTAGTTAGCGCGGGATACCCGTAACCTCCCCGGGTTTACACGCGAAGCCCTGACCCGCACCCAGCCGTGCCAGACTCCGGCTCTTCTTAAACGCCAACACGTGCGGGGGAAGCGGGAGGAAACACCCGGAGGTGCGGGCGGGCGCGGTGAGCAGCGCGGGACCGAGAGGCCCCGAGGAGCATCCTCTCTCCCACCGCTCCCTTCTCGGTCCATCCCGGTCCCACCCCAGTCCTATTCCTGTCCATCTTGGCCCATTCCTGTCCATCCCGGTTCATCCCTGTCCATCCCGCTCCATCCCGGGCCCATCCCTGTCCATTCCAGTCCCATCACTGTCCATCCCAGTCCCATCACTGTCCATCCCTGTTCATCCTGGTCTGCCCCGGGCCCATCCCGGTCCATCCCTGTCCTTCCGGGTTCATCCCTGTCCATCCCGGATCATCCTGGTCCGTCCCTGTCCCAGCGCAGGCCCGTCTCTGTCCATCCCTGTCCATCCCTATCCATCCCAATCTCATCCCTGTCCATCCTAGTCCATCCCTGTCCATCCCTGTCCATCCCTGTCCATCCTAGTCCATCCCTGTCCATCCCGGTCTATCCCGGTCCATCCCTGTCCATCCCGGTCCATCCCTGTCCCACCCCTGTCCATCCCTGTACATCCCGGTCCATCCCTGTCCATCCCTGTCCCATCCCTGTCCAACCCTGTCTATCCCGGTCCATCCTGGTCTATCCTGGTCCATCCCTGTCCATCCCGGTCCATACCTGTGCATCCCAGTCTATCCCGGTCCATCCCGGTCCATCCCTATCTATCCCGGTCCATCCCTGTCTATCCCTGTCCATCCCTGTCTATCCCTATCTATCCCGGTCCATCCCTGTCTATCCCTGTCTATCCCGGTCTATCCCAGTCTATCCCGGTCCATCCCTGTCCATCCCAGTCTATCCCTGTCCATCCCTATCTATCCCTGTCTATCCCTATCTATCCCTGTCTATCCCGCTCTATCCCTGTCTATCCCGGTCCATCCCTGTCTATCCAAGTCTATCCCGGTCCATCCCTGTCTATCCCAGTCCATCCCGGTCCATCCCGATCCATCCCAGTCTATCCCGGTCCATCCCGGTCCATCCCTATCTATCC